TTTTTTTTTTTTTTTTTTTTTTTTCCCTGGATTAACAAGCTCCATCAGCTCTACATGGGACCAGATGAACATTAGCACTGAGAAGGGAATACAGCAGCACTGGTTTAGATGGATACAGTTTGTGATAGATCCCACTCAGAAAGGCTGAGCAAGCTGCATAAACAAAGTGACTCTTCAGCAAGAAGGTACCAAGCAAGCTCTCCAGAGAAACAGAATATGAAAGCAATCCTGCGTACAGTACACTCAGATGGGTCCTACAGACCTTTGGGGAAGGTCCTAGGAATGCAACAGTGTTCATTAAGAAACATCACTGCAAATGAAAACTCAAACTGCATTTCACAATCTACTATTTTTCTCACCACTCACAGATACTGAAAAAACGGCTGAAAGACACAACAAGGCATTTTCTTTTCTTTTTGTCATCCAAGCACACTGAAATTTTAATAGAGAACACCTTTGATTTTATCTTCTGCAAAGATGTTCTAGCAGCAGGACCCAAGCAAGAGTGTAAGTTTGAATATATTCATTCAGTGCTCTCTTACATATACACACTCAAAATACTTTCTGTGATCCCTACTTAGGTGCATCTGTCACACAACTCTCAATTAAATCAAAAGTATGTACTCAATGAGTGACAGTCCTGCCCTTAAGCACACTGGCTCCCCAATTTGGTGTCATCTGTAAACTTAATGAGCAAGCACTGTTAATTCCTCTGGGTCATTGATAAATATGCAGAACAAGACCAGTCCCAGGATCAACCCCTGACAACCCATTAACTACCATCCTCTAAACCCCAGCATCCAACCAGTCTTAAAAGGCACATGGTTGTCCACCCATCCAGACCATAACACCCTAACTTGGATACAAGAATGTTGTGGGAGTCAGTGTTGAAAGCCTCCCTAAAGTAGAGGTAAACGGCATCCACAGCTCCCCCCTTGTTCACATATCCAGGCAATCATGTTGGTCAGGCATGATTTACCCTCAGTTCCCAAGCACTTTCTTCTTCGTGGTCCCAGAATACTATCAGTGCTATTCATAGTTAACTATGACTATTTTTGCAGTTCTTTGAAACATATGTTTTTGTTGCTGTACTTCTAAAAATAACAGTTTTATTGGCTTAATTCTAAGTGTAAAGAATCTCTGCAGAAAGGAGTGCTTTTCAGAAGGTCAGGGTTAAAAGAAAAAAGGAAAGATGTCCAAATGAAAGCATTCTTTTAATCTTAATTGGAGTTGCAAGTGAAATGTTATATTGCAGAAGAGGTTAAAAAAAGAGGGTTACCAGTGAAGGACCCAATAGAACAAGTTGTTCAGTTAACGAGGTATCGGGCAAGGATGTGCTGCGGGAACTAGAAACAGAATTTGCCACAGATGAAAAGTGTCCTGATGGCCTGAAATGACAAAAAGCTCTCCGCTAAGCTTTCACTGCCAAGACCCTGCCAACTGCTCACCAGGACACTTGGGTAGCTCAGCAGTCCAATTACCAGGTGGGGAATGCCTTGAAACCACAAGTTCAAATCTTGATAAGGCTGATTTCTCTCTTCTTCCTTTTGAGGCAGATATATACCATCCCATTTGCTGCGCTGCTATTTCTGAACAGTTCTCAGAAAAGACCTGGCCTGCTGTGAATTGCCATTACAAATTCTATTATACTTTTCTGGAAAGATTAGAGTTTTAGTCCAATGCTATGGCCAAAATGTCTCTCTTCAGCATGGCTAGCGGTTACCCTCCATTCTAAGCAGAAACATAGTTCAGCTTGTGACTTGGGAATCCTGAAGAGGGCGAACCAGATTGTGCCTCTTGGTGAC